AATAATATTTTAATTTAAAATGAAAATATTTTCTTTAATATATGTTACTTCAGAAAAATATCTTAATTTTCCAACAAAATTCCTTTTATTTTAAAATTAATTGTCTTTAAAATAAAATTATATAAATCTTTGAAAGTCTATTATTAAATTATATCCTATAATATTTTAATGTGTTTAATAAATCAACAATATAATAATAACTGGTGTATAAGCTTCATAAAGATATTGTTGAAGTATGCTAATATATATCAAATCATATATTTACCTAAAAATATATAGCTATTAATTACTTATATCAAATATATATAGATATAGATGTAAATAGATTGTATTTAATATTGGAATTCAGTAAAATGTATATTTATGGAATTGAAATAGAATTTTTGTATGCAAGATATTTTTAAACTAAAAATAATTTTCACGTTAAATTTTCGACTTTTACTTATGTATTAAAATTATATATTTATCAATAATTTTATATTACACGTAGTTTATATATCTTATTTCAAATAAATTATATATATATATATATATATATATATATATATATATATAATAATGTATATAATGGTTTATTTATTTAATTAATTAAAAATTAGTATAACATAGTTTATTATTATTGGACTGTTTAGGATTCCTTATAATTTTTTATTAAATTGTTGGCATTAGTCACTCATAAAATTAGTAAAAATAATATATATAATATATTTAGTAAATATTATAAGTATATTTATATAAAAAAGAATGTTAAAAAAGTAGTAGATCGTTAAAAAGTTGGATTATGTTACATTGTATAAAATATTGTATATAAGTTTTTTTTTAATGAAAATGAAAAGATTAATTTTCTTCTTTTTATCTAAAAAAATATTCATATCATAGAATTAAGTTTTGACTTCTGCTAATTCGTATATTTTTGACTTTATTGTAGATTAAATAAGTGTAATTACATAAAAAGTATAATCGAGGTTATTCATATGTACATATCCTAAACGAGTCAGAAGAAATAACGATTTTTAAGTTTAATCAAATATATGTAAGGATGCAGGTGTATATTTGTAATCATTTCTTTTATTTTTTTATGTTATTGATAGTTTGCACAAATATCGATATACATAAATGCACACACACACGCACGCGCGTACACACATATAGATATAAATGCAATATTCGAAAAAATGAAATATTATATTTAAATTTAAATGATATTACAATATAATCAATAAAAATTAATTTCTTATTTTATTTAAATTTTATAAAATCTTTATCCGATTTATTGTGTTAGTTATTTTTTCTTTTAAAATATAAATTAGAGAAAATCAAACTAAAAAGCAACGAAGTTTCTTTAAAATGAGTTACGTAAAGTATAATGACCATAATAATTGTTTTTAGAATACTAATAATCTCATTTTAAATAATATGATACTTCTAGAATTTTTGTTTTCTTTTATAACTTTTAGAGAACATTAATAAAATTTTTTTAGCGAATAAAAATGAAACATGTATGAATATTGGAATAAATATCACTTTATATGTATAAGATTTTATTTTTATATATGCGTGTCAGCGTGGGTGCGTTTGTGACTGCAAGTGTGAGCGTACGTGCTCGCTCGTATTGTATGTATATAATCAATAAAATAAATTAAAACAAAATTATATTATTTTTTTAAAACATAAGTATTAAAATTAACAATGGAAGCTTTAAATATAAAATAGATTTACAAGTTCATTATGACATGATATTTTTACAATACCTGTCGAAATTGTATAATTTAAATTAGCACTAACAATGATATGCTGAATTGCACAAAAAGGACAACCAAATTATGATTTATTATCATATGCAAAAAATCAATATCATACAAATTATTTTATTTATATAATGAGAATATATATAAATAGATAAATAAAAAATAAAGAAGCCAAAAACTTATTTAAAATTGAGAAAGATGTTCAAAGATAAAATTGTATGTTTCAGCAACCAAATCAGATTTTTAATTTATTATCAATTAAAAAATCGATACCCAATTTACAATCACAGACAGTTCGCTATAATTACGATAGACTGATTTATTTTATTATTTTCTAGGTGTTATTAATTGAAATACAAATTTGTGCACTATACGTTCTTTAATTTGAACGTTATAAATAACAATAACACTGCTCACGTTATTGTAATAATGTAAATATCAATATTTAAAAATAAAGTTTATAAAACATTAAAATGCCAACATAAAAAATGAATACTGGCCTGATTTTTGAGTTATTACGTTTAATGTAATTAGATTCTGCTAAATATAAATATTTTCATAACTTTTGTAATTCTAAATAAAAATAATTCATCTTAATGTGTGTATCATTATTATTTTTGCTTTTCATTAATTGTTTCATTAGTTATTTGAGATACTATATTTAAAACGTGAGTCTTACCGTTTCTTCTTGTCGACTTCTATAATTTCGACTTCTATTGCGCTATCTTTGAAAGCCGATGTTGTTATTCAATTTGTTAATTAGTGTCTATCTTTCGCTTTACTTCCTTCAACTTTTATTTTCGAAAACATCAATTATTATCTTCGTTAATGTAAATCGAGTTGTGAATCAACAAATTTGAAATTAGTAAATATTTCTAGTTTTTATCATGATATAAATGTATACATAAGTATATATATATATAAATATAATTTTTATAAGGCAATTATATAAAAGAATGAGTAATAAAGAATAGGAGAGAGAGAATTAAGATTATGAAAAATAAACTTAATCTAAAACATTGTAAAATTGTATCTATAAATGAATTTAGATTTACTTGATGCAAATATTGATGTACATAATTTCTTATACAAATTGATCAATAATTGATATGAGTGAACTTTTCAGTTAAAGCTTATTAATGAAAATATCAGTGAAATTATTATTATTAATCTTAGCAGGTTTAAATTATAATTCTATTAATACTTTATGTATTTAATATTATTCCATAGTATAATGGGATACTTGTTACAATATGACTTGTTTCTCAGTACTAAATAAGTATTATTATTTGGATAATAATTTTTAATAATGAAAGAAACCAATAGTATATAAAATAATTTATTCTTCTACTATTAAGTAATCCAATATAAAACTACATGCATAAAAAATTAAATTTTGACAAACTTGATATATTCATAAAAGAATTTTATTTACTGTAAAAAATAAAAAATAAAAATTTCTAACAAATTGTAATCTACTTTTTAATTAAATACAAATAGTATTAGCGATTGTATTTATGTATTAGCATATTAGGAAATGTTTAAGAATTTTAATTAGGCTGCAAATTCCGGAAATTAATATGTTATAATTAATCATACATGAATATGCTCTAGCATAAAGTTCTTACATAATAAATAATATAAAAAAGTTCTGAAATTATTTTTACAATTGAAATTTTAATATATGCTGTTAACATTAATATTTAATTAATTTGAGGCATACTTTAACAGAAATGAACATAGTTTAATTTTATGTCCAAAAATTTGAACATTGACAAAATCAAATAAATAATCATTAATTATAATCATTAGAATCATGTCACACTTCTTATATGAAACAAAATAAAATACATGCATATGACGCAGCTATAATAATATTCCTTCCTGTTCACGAGAGAAGAGCCAAGGTTAAAAAGTTTCAAAGTACACACGTGTCCAGTTTCAGGTAAATTTCTGGAAACAGAAATGTAGCGCACGCGCGTACACATGCATTTATAATCGAAGGTCAACAAAATTTTTTTGAAATTTTTATAATTTGCAAGAATTTACATTTATATCATTATTAATAAAATTTTAGTGTGTATTCTTTGTATATATTACTTACATTACGATAATTAAAACATAATACAAATAAATAAATACAACTAAATTTATTAATGAATTATTTTTTACATTAATTAGTTTTTCATTTAAAATATAAAATTATTACCTTCTTCTATTAATTTTTATTTATTAAAAAAATATTGTGTAAATTTAAATTAATTTTAAATATAAATTTACATATTTAAATATCGTTTATTTATAAAATTTTCAATACAAACTCAAATTAAGTTTTGAAGTGTTACAATAAAAGTGTATAATAATAGATAATACATATCATGAAATTACGAATATGAATTGATTCATTGAAAAAATTGTTATAATAATATCGCTCTACTGATTATATAAAAACAATAAAAGTTGAAAATGAAACAGAAATATTATACTATATATTATACTATATACTATAATCAATATAATATTATATATAATCAATTTATAGATTATGTTTATTAAAATGAAATTTTTATGTAAATGAAATCAAATATATGAGATTAAAATTGGTTTCATCGAAAGTCATCGTGCATTAACATTTATTATTAAATGATCGATGCACTGATTGATTATTCCCCATGTATTTTATTTATTATAATAAATAAAATATTATTTTGTTTATGCTTTTATTAATATTTTGTTTTCATTGCTATAGTAATACATGTTTTAATTCTCATCATTAATGAAATATAAATTTAAATAATTTTTTCTAACAGTAGACATTTATAAAATTATTTTAATATGTATTTCTAATGTGCAATTTAATGAGGTGAGCTTTCAAGTATAATTTATGCGTTATTCTTACAAACAATGACTGTTTTAAATAATTTTTGAAAAATTGATTTATTTTCGAAAGTATTAAAATTAAGATTGAAGATGTGAAATTACTAATTATCAAAATGAACAAATCTTGCAAAAATTCCACGAGTTATGTTATAGTTATCAATATGGTTCTTCCCAAAGAATACCTTTTATTTTAATTACCTCAATATTTATAAGCGTACCAATACTTTTTATTCATTTGTTTAGTAAATGGTAAGTTTTTTTTATAACATTATATAATATACAATTTTAATATAATTAAAAATAAAATTGAAATTACAGTAATGATAATTGATATTTGAAATTTATTAAATAATACTTTTTAACATCTTGCAGTTATTTGAAAAAGTCAAAGGACAGAGAGGAATTGAAGCTTTGTACGAAAAGGTTACGGTTATAAGTGGCGATGTCTCACTAACTGGCTTAGGTATTTCACCAGACGAAAAAAAATTGCTATGCGAAAGAATAAGTATTGTTTACCATGGAGCCGCAACTGTTCGGTTAGTATTTTTATACTATAAAAAATAGATATAAATTGGTAAATATAGACATTCAAAAAATGATTTATAAATAGCGTTAATTGTTGATTTTTAATGATCAATTTAAAATTGCTATATTTAGTAAGATTATATTCATTTATTTTATTAAAATTCTAACTTTCAAAATAAGGAAGCAATTAATATGAAACATATTATCTTTTAATATATATTAATATATTTATTTAAAGCTATTTGAATAGCCTGCATTTGTAAATATCTATTAGTTTAAATACATTTTAAATCCTATTTTAAATACTACAAAAATTTTTTTTTCATTTTTCATATGGCTTTCTTCAATATATTTAATTTAATAAATTTTTGTGTTTAGTTTAAACAGACTTTAGTGTTTAGAGTAATCAATATTTAATAAAAATATTTAATGTATAAATTATACATTAATATGTATATATACATATACATATATATATAGACATTAAAAAGAAAATATATATTATTCAATATTATTTTAATAATCTTAATTTTAATTAAACTAAAAATTCATACTGAGTTTAAGTCTTAAATCAAATTTAAGTATGTATTCAAATCTATCAGTAGCCTATAATTTTCATATTTCAATGTAACTCTTAAATTGTGGATACCAATATAATGTAAAAATCATTATACTTTAAATCACTTTTTTAATTACATTAAAGATCAAACTTACGATATTACTTAATAGTTTATGAATAGTAAGCGTTTTAAAAGTATATTTTAAAATTTTTAACCAATTAACAGAAAATAAAATCATGAATTCAAAGAAAAATGTAGGAAAATGAAGTATTTGTTTACGAAGTTATTAAATAAATTTCTTAAATTTATATTCATTCAAGAAAGTATAAATTAAAAATACACATTCATTGATTAAAAATCAAAAAAGATTTTTCATTTAAGTAGTAATGATATGACTTAATTTTATTTTATTAGATTCGATGAGTTACTCAAACGGGCAGTTCTTTTAAATACACGAGGGACAAAACAGATCTTAAAATTGGCAAAAGAAATGAAAAAACTTGAACTTTTTGCACATATTAGTACAGCGTATTGTCATTTAGAAGAAAAGGTAATACTTTAATTAAATTCTGATTTTTATTAAATCTGGTTATTAAATGCAAGTAATAATCGAATGCAAGTTTTAAATTATTTGTTCTATAATTTTTTCAGTATTCTTGAATAATAATCTAAAAATTGTAACTTATAATATAGTTTTAGTTATCAGCATTATATTAATTGTAAAAAGTACCGAGATCTATGTTAATATATATAAATAAAAATCTTAATATTTAATTTTCTAAAACTAGAAAAGTTTTTATATATATATATATATATATATATATATATATACTAATAATAATCTAAAAATTAAGAAAATTTTGTATAAAAATTAATTATTCAGAAAACTAATGAATAATTGTAGGTTTATTATAAAAATTTTCTGAATAAATTTATGAAAATTTATAACAATTAGTTGTTATTAAATAAATATTTTTATTGGTCTACATAAACAAATAAATAACTAAGCACTACAATTAAAACCCTATTTTTATAAGCACATTCATCTACACTAGATAAAAATATATAACACTCATTTATCTGCTTAATGAGATTAATAACTAATAATAATCTAAAAATTAAGAAAACTTTGTATAAAAATTAATTATTCTGATTGTATTATAGTTAAACGGATCAATAAAAGTATTTATTTTTATTTAAATTTTAACTAATTCTTATTAACTTGAATAAATATATTCAGGAGAATTTAATATTATTTAATATATATTTAATAAATATATTATTATTATAAATTAATATATATATATATATATATATATATATATAGATATATATATAGATATATATTTAATATTATTTAATATATATTTATACAAGTTAATAAGAATTAGTTAAAATTTAAATAAAAATAAATACTTTTATTGATCCGTTTAACTATAATACAATCAGAATAATTAATTTTTATACAAAGTTTTCTTAATTTTTAGATTATTATTAGTTATTAATCTCATTAAGCAGATAAATGAGTGTTATATATTTTTATCTAGTGTAGATGAATGTGCTTATAAAAATAGGGTTTTAATTGTAGTGCTTAGTTATTTATTTGTTTATGTAGACCAATAAAAATATTTATTTAATAACAACTAATTGTTATAAATTTTCATAAATTTATTCAGAAAATTTTTATAATAAACCTACAATTATTCATTAGTTTCACTGATTATTGAATATTTAGCTATATGTATATTTGATGGTATTTTTTGTTTTGTAATAAGTCTTAAAAATCCAAATGAGGTACTTATATCATTTGATCAGCAATTTTATGGAATAAATTATCCATTATTAGTATCTTATAAAATTTACATGAAATCTGTAACATAATATTTTAATTAATTTTAGTAAAAATGGCAGTTTATTCATTTTAAATCTTGATTCGTTATTCCAACATACTTTATCACTCCATAAACGTAAACATTATACTCAGTCATTACACTCCAAGATAAATCTTCAAAGACTCACTGTTTTTCCAGTTTTGTATATTTATAGATTTACTTATATATGCATATTTGTATAGTGACAAACCTGATTATTTTAACTAGTTGTAGTAGTTATATTGATAAATAAACCATAATAAATACATTTGATATAACATTATCATTATGCAATTTCAATTTAATTATATTTAAAAGTACAGTCTTTAACTGATTAATTGCAGATAGATAGTTGAAGTAGATAGAAAATTGTGATTAACTCTGATTATATTACTTACCAAAGAAATAAAGTTGCAATATAAAATTGAATATCATTCAAAGTTTAGTAGAAATTGAAATATATTAAAATATTGTTTTCAAGTTAGCAATCATTTTTGGTAAAATAGAAACACTCAGTTTAATTTTATAAATATAGGTTCTGGGCGAAAAACCATATCCTCCTCCAGCAGATCCGCACAAAATTATTAAATGTGTTGAGTGGATGGAGGATGAAGTCGTCGAAGCTATGACAGATAAAATCCTTGGGAATCTTCCCAATACATATGCCTTCACAAAGGCTCTTTCTGAAGGACTCGTAGAAGAAACGATGACGGAAATTCCAGCATTAATTTTAAGGTATATAATAAATTTAAATATTTTTTTCATCATTATTATTTAAATGAAATAAAAAACAATTGAAGTTTTAAATAAAATTTTTACATTAATCTTAAAATCATGGTTTTTATAAATTCATACGTAACAATACGAACACATATATTTTAATTATTTCCTGTTAGCATAATTACAATTAAAAATATTAGTTTGCAATTTAGAAGCCAATTTCTTTTCAAGTATAACTATGGATAAGTACATTTATATTAAAGATTTACTTGAAGCAAATAAAAAATATTTTTAAATTGTATAATTAATATTAATATTTTTAAATTTCTTTTCCATTTAAAGACAAAGGCTATTTTCAACGGGTTCTTTCGCTACCATATAATTAATTAAAATTAATTAGGATATTTATTGTCATCGATATTTTATTGTAAAATTTATTAAATCACGCGTTTGAAATAAACATTAAAATGAATTTTCGTTTATTATATACACAGGTATATACATATATATATATATATGGATTGCGTACATTCAATCATGTATCATATATATTATAAATAGAAAATATTAATTATAGATGTATATAAAATCTAAATAAACATACAATATATTGATAATACGAAATATAATATAAATATATTTATGACTGAATGACTGTGTGTGTGTGTTTAATTATAAATGTATATTTTAAATTAGTAAAATTTATTCCTAAATATTAAAAAAAAATTTTTTATAGCTAGGAATTATTATTAAGTCAGAAATATAATTATTTAATTTTATATTTTGTTAATATGAAGTTATAATTGTATAATAAATTTTATCAGATATAAAAACCAAGATTTTTTAATATATTATAATGAATATTATACTATATATAGATGTAACTAACCTTTGTATTTATTAATTTTCAATACAAGAAATTTATCTTGATAGATAAATAAGTTCCAATTATTTGAAAATTACAAATTTAATTTTGAATGAAATATGTAATATAAGACTACAAAAAGACTTGGTTTCCGCGCATATGGCATTAATAACGATAAGTATGAACGCAAAGATGGATACTGTCTTTGATAGACCGAGTATCGTAATCCCGGTGTGGAAGGAGCCAGTGCCCGGGTGGACCGACAACATAAACGGTCCGACAGGTTTGCTGATCGGAGCCGGGAAGGGCGTCATTCGTACAATGTATTGTAATGAAAACGGTTATGCAGACTATGTACCGGTGGACATCGCGGTGAACGGTATACTTGCAATTACGTGGAACTTCATTGGTAATAAAGAAACTGAGAAGCGTGTTTATAATCTCACCAGCAGCAGCGAATTCAAGGTTGGTTAAAGGTGCTGGACAGCTTTTTAAAGAGAGCTTGGTACTTTACTCATGGGGTATTACATCACATTGCAGGTCTCATGGGCGGAGATTATTGAACGAGGTCGGAGGATTACGGAGAAAGTACCACTTAACGGAGTCGTCTGGTATCCCGGAGGTAGTATGAAAAAATCACGATTGATGCACAATATATGCGTTATCGTCTTCCATATGATACCAGCTTTCATCATTGATGCTATCATCTTCTTAGCTGGATATAAGCCTATGTGAGTTCGGAAGTCGAATACACTCGTTGAGTTAGATATTGCTAACTTCAAACTTTAACCATTTGTTTTATAATATTTATTAGAGGCGCGTAGACAAAACCTAGAAGTAAGTTCAAATAGTCTAAAATTCATTTTCAAATTAAAAATATGATTATGTATTATAATATAAACACTGATAAAAGTTTAATAAAATAAAATTGAAATATATTAAAGTATAATAATAAAAATCATATATACCTATGCTTTATAAAAATGTGATCATTATTTTGATCATTTTCAATTTTTAAAAATTATAATCATGTTTGAATGTTTGTATATTCTCTCATTTTTATTTCTGATTAAAAGAAATACTACAATAGAACCTATATAAAAACTAAACTTAAGAAAGCATAAAGTAAAAATAAAGTTTTTTTGTATTTCACTATTTATACACTGATAATAATTAATTATATCAATAAATATATAAATAAATTTTTATGTTTATATCTTAATGTAAAATCTTTTTGCAACATGAATATTTTATTTATTGAGAATGATATTGTTATAAAAAAAACATTTTTAATCAAACTTAACCGAACATCTTTTAAGAAATAATTTTATTTTTTAGATAATATTTAATTGTAGTGACAATACAAAAACAATTTTTAAATCTAATTTGTAAAATCTTAAATTATACCTAATCTAACGCTTCCATATATATCTGACATAATTTAAGCTATTAATGTGTAGTTTTATATCATATTAAAGTTTAGTATTCTAGTAAAATTTATAATTTATATTATATAATTATAACATTCGTTATTTTCATTAGTATCTATGTTAACACAAATATTACTATATATACTCATTTTTATTCAATATAATTATGTTTATCTTGAAAACCTCAAAATAATAAAAATAAAACAATTTTATTTCTCAGAATGTGTCGAGTTCACCGTCGTATTAAAAAAGGTTTCGAAGTATTTGAATATTATGCGAATAATCAATGGGACTTTGAAAATTCAAATATATCAGAAATTAGAGCACTATTGAATGAAAAAGAGCAAGCACAATATCAATTACATGGCGATGATATGGATTTAGATGAATATTTTGAAAATTGTATACGAGCTGCAAGAGTGTTTATTTTAAATGAACCCCCAGAAACTCTACCTGCTGCTCGGCGTCATATGAGAATGTAAGTTTATTTGTAATGGCTATTAATTTGCATATAAGGTAATTTATTTATTTGTTTATTTACATATTAAGTGTAACGAAATTAAACTTTTAACTTAATTACAGTAATTTCGAAAGTTAATTTTTCAAAACAATTTATTAAATATTTATAAAAATATAATAAATAATTCCGAATCAAGTTCAACATTTATAAAATTATTTATTTTCTTATATCTTAACCTTATTCTTTATTACTGTTTCAGAATGTATTGGGTCGATATAATAACTAAAGTTTTATTTTGTTTATTATTGATATATACTTTAGCTTGTTGGAGCGATAGTTTTAAGGCATTACTTGTTGGTGGTTGGCAATTATTTATTGATTATGGTCATTAGTTTTTTAATTGTGCCTTATGTGTATTTTTATTTATCTTTATATTGTAAATTAATCAAAGGCTGATAATTATTTCAATAACTTACAGTAAATTCAATTCTTGTATGATTTAATACCCAATTTATAAAAAAAAAAACAAATATATAATACAAAAAGCAATTTTTATACAGAAAAAAATAAAGTACACATAAATACTTTGGACAATTGTTTTACTCATAAAAAGAAAATTGATTGTATATTATATTAAGTTCTAATTTAAAAATAAAATTGATATCTATATATAAAATATGAATGTATTGAAATAAATTTGAAAATGCATTTGTGCACCAAAGTGACTTTTATTATGTTTTTTTTATAAGATGTTATAATCATTAGTTAAGTTACACCGATTCTTGTACAGGCGGTTCGTAACCCTCTGGTCTTTCTACTTTAGATCCTGTTTCTCCACCTTCACCTCCCTTGTTTGTAGGGCCATCATTATGAAGCTCAAGAAGTTTGCTCAATTCAAAACGGGGCTTTTTCAATACTTTTACCTGTAAAAAATAAAATATTTATAAAGATTGAATAATAATATCAAGTAATATTTTGAACATATAAAAATTATATAAAAATGAACTTCAATAGTCATATATTTATACATTTTATTATCGAATATTAAATATTGAGTAAAAACCTAATAGTTATGTTGAGAAATATTAATCAATTGAATATCTATATTAATTATTATTACTTATATAAGGAATTACAAAATAATTATAGACTTATTTCAGGATTCTTTATTACAGAATGGAAGAAAATAATTATAATAGTTACAAGATATAACTGTTTATTGTAGTAAATACTATGACTGAAAAGAAAAAAGCTTAATTCTTTTAGCTATTTTTTCTATCTTTTGATTATTAAATAATTGATTAATTTATTGTTTAATAAAATTTACTTACAGTAAGTATCTTACATATAACCCTAAATGTAACTTGTTACATAGAAAATGAAGAGTAAGTATATAACTGTAAGTTTACCAAGATATATTTAGTATTATAATATGCAATGAAATTTTATTTTATATACTAAATATGTATGTACATTATATTTCAGTCTATTAAAGAGTTGTTGTCGGGTTGATAAGTAATACCAATAGTTTTTTCATTAAATTTTTAAAATATTATTTTCACTAACTTTTCGAATGTAAACATCATGAAGAGGATAAATTCCTTGACATGCCTTCTCAATATCCTTAGCAATAGCATCAGGTAAAAGTTTGCTTACTACACCCTTCAAATCGCTTTTACTAACATCATCTGTAATAATTTCGACCATTTTTCTACGAATACTTCTTACCTAAACAAGAAATTTTGTTTAACTTTTATAATTAAAAATCTTAAATCTTAAAAAATAATTATTATAGATGGATGCATGTAGCATTTATCAAGTTCACAACTTGAATAAGTAGATCAAGTAGTGTGGTAAGTAAAAGCATTTTCTTTCAGCAAGTAGAATGACAAATCAAATGAATTATTTGTTTGTTGTCATCTTGCATTATACTTACTTATTCTTATCATGATAAAATTATCAAATTTAAAATAAAAATTTATTATGAATTTTTTTTATATCAGTAATAGATATTATAATTAATTCTTAAAATATTATTTTGGAGTTATTTTTAAAAACAAATTAATTTTAATGATAAATTTACCTGTGCATGTTGTGCATAACAAGTTTTCCTTGTACTTTGTTGGTCTTTATTTGTAAAACCAATACAGAAGACTCTCAAACTATAACCGTCCGTTGTTTTAACATCAACAACTGCCTCAATCAATGTCTGCCATTTCTTAACCATTGATCTCAACTTATCTGTAGTCAAGTCCATACCATGAAAATTGGTTAGCACACCACGCCCCTGCACATCTTCTGCAATTAGCCTAAATTTTCTGAATGATCGTTCAGCATCATGATCACTCTGAAGATCAGCAAGAGATACTTCAAATACACGGTGCTTTAAACCTTCAGAAGCAATTTCTAAAAAATGATGAAAAAGTTCTGATTAAATTAAGTACTAACAATAATAAATTTTATTTGGTAAATATTAATTTGTATGTATATAAATAATTATTTTGTTATAGTTTGTAATGCATCATTTCAATCAAAATGAAATAATAAAAAACACAAACTATATTTAATATTGCAACTAGTAAACGCCACAACAATTTAAGTAATACTGCCATGGAGCTGGAGTTGCAAGTTTTATATTTTCTAATGATATTATTAAAGTTGAAATGTACAACTAGTATGTTAAAAATAAATCTTATAAATTAATTTTTACTAACATAAAAATAAAAATTGGAATAATCCTAATATAAATAAGATTAAAAAAAAAAAGATTAATAGTTCTTAGATGATCATACATTTTTGTATACTTTAAATGCATTATAAAATTTTATAAATTATTTTTATGTATTAGTATACAATACCGACTCTATAATCATAAAAATGATTAAATAAGATAAATCATTGCTGAAGTGCAAGTAGTGCAATAGGAATATTTTTTTTGGTATAAAATTAAATATTTAAAAGTAAAGTATTAAGCAATTTTAAACATTTTTCAATTATTTATAAAAACATAAAATAAGACAATTTCCAAATCTACATTTCTAATTTTAATTGGAAATTAATAAAATATAAAATATTAATAATTTTTAATTTAATTATTATATGATTTTAAATTACATAAAAAAGATCTCACTTGTTCCTTGAGTTCTGTTAACCAATGTTTTACCAACATGACGAACAGTAAAAACCGATGGAGCCTTAACATCGTACCAATCTTTTCGAGTAAATGGATCAACACTACAATGATTATTTTAGATTATAAGTGAAGTATATATGTAATTGCATTACCATTTATAGTTTATAATTTTAGCCAAATAATTTGAATATTGGTTTACGAACATTAAGTGTTAATCATACTGAAATTTCCAATTCTTAAGATAAATTTATCCTCAATATATTTCTATTTAATAAAAGAATAAAATAATTACATAAATATTTTTTTAGAGAATTAGGTTATTTATAATAGTATAAAACACAATAGAAACAATGTATACGTTGTCTATTTGTGGTATGACTGAAGAAAACAAGCACTGTAAATTTATAGGTTATGTTCTTCGAACAAGCAAAATAAATTTTATCCGTTATATGTAATTAAATTTATAAAATTCCTTGTTTCGGCTAAATTACCAGATAAATAATGTATTAAATAATAAATGAATCATTTACTTTATGAATCTAAATTCAATTCGTAAAACCAAAATAAAGCATGCAAATGGACAGTTGTGAATTAGAATTTTGTATTCATCCACATTAATCTAAAGCATCAGTAGTGATTATTAACTACATCATATTAAATTTCAATATAAACATTTTTAATCATAGATTAAAAGCAATATTAATTACTTACATCTTCTTCTTTACTCCCTTTTTACCTCCTTTCGAGAGCCCCTTATTTTTACCCACTGCCATGACTGAGGCTAGGAAACGGAAAGGACTATGAGTATTCAAGGCGACTCTAGTGTACCACAACCTGAAATATTCAACAAAAATCGAATAATCGATATTACAACTTGAAGTATAAATTCTCGAATTTCAATCTCTCGATCGTTAACATTTTACATTTCAAAATTTCATACACTAAACTTATATATTATGAGCAATGTGAGAGGTGAAGTTCGTATAAATTTGATAATTGATTACTAACTAATTATTACTATATTATCGTTTACTTGTTTATTAAAGCCGTAATAATATTATGAATTAAATATTTTAAGTAGAAATGATTGAGTTTTAAAAGTATTTTAAATTTGTTATTTTAAGTCATCTGATAATATTTTAAATATTATTTATTTTATTTATTTCATTTATTTTATTAAAAAAATTCTAGAAAATTATGTAAAATCTCATAAATAAAAACAAAATTCAATTTACGATTTTGTGAAGGTACTGGCTTTTAAGGTAAATTGAAAATATTCATAATATAATATTCATTTTCAATCAAATAAATTAGCAACGCTCACAAACACTGTCATAGGTATAGATTGATTTTTATAAAAAATATTACATTAACTTGTTGAAACTACTACGTAATAATTTTCTTCATATATTATTCAATATTTCATATATTACGATTAAGTAATATAATTAGGCTATCTAAAAAATTTACATTGAGTTATGATATTTGTTAAATACATCAAAAATTAAATTAAAAATTTGACTTTATAACATTTTTTTCATATGTGAATTACAATTATGTTATTAATTAATTTCTGTTAACTATTTATATTAATTCATTTCTATGTTAACCAAACACTTTTGAAATTAGATAATAAAAAGATTTCTTAATTATAGTTAAGTATTAATATTTAATTGTTAGATTTTAAAATATTTTAAATATATACATTAAATATATATATACATTTGCACAAAATATATAAATATTACAAAAATATTTTTCATTAATTTTATATAAATATATTTTATAATCTGTAAGTATATTAATATCTCATTTTTGACATTGTGCTTCTGTATATTATTTTATTATTATTTAAATATTAAAAAAAAATATGAGAAATATATATTAGGTAGATATATAAAATAAAAAATATATTCATTTAATCTTAAAAATATAATATTTAATCAAATATTTTGGATTAAAATATTTCAATAATCATTTTGTCTATCTTTAAATATTTCAGTCTTCATATAATTGATGTATTTCAAAATAATCTGTTTTTATATTCTATAATGTATAGAGATGTTTTTTTTTAATTAAGAAAAATGTTTTAATTTTCTATTATAAAGCTTTTCTATGTACTTTAAGTATTGAATAACTTTCAAATTATAATTCTTAAAAAATATTAAACTAGTCAATTGTAATAAAACGATAACTCTGGTATAGGTATCAAAACATTTATTTTTATTTTTATAATTATTTATAATTTATTTGATAACTATATTTTTAAAATATAATTAATGTAAAACATAATTTATTAAGTTAAATATTGTCACATAAGTGTGTTGATAGTATGATTCGTCAGAAATATTAATTATTTTCATATTTGACTAGTTATATAACATATCAAATTCGGCTAAACTGAAGTTTTGTGTTTATCGTCAGAGATAGGAACGAATAAAAGTATCAAGAGTAGATAGACGAATATGGTTATCGTGAAATTTAACCACTCAATGATTATAGCAAGCTTTCTCCACGAGTCATCTTGATTTTTTGACGATATTATGTTGCCCTCTGGTTCGCTACTTTCTTCTAAGTCTCCTTCAATATTCATTGTTTCATCTGGGGTATTACCGATCAAAAAGAAACGCCCAGCACGGTTACTCAATACAAATGTTACTGTTGTTACGATCCATCTTGGCGCAGAAACTTTTGTTGCTTGAAGTTTGCGCAAAAGACTAGTAATGATCATCGCTAACATCGCTAGCACCATGGAATCTCGGTAGAAGAGTACTTTAAAATAAATGTTAAGATATTAAAAATTTTTAGCGTTTTTCAAATATACATATATAACAGCTTGATTGTTATCTATAGAGATTATATTATATGATGTTATCTAAGTTAGGCTAAAAATAGTAATGAAATTAATTTTTTTTATTTAATTAAATGTTTTGTTTAAATAAAAAAAAAATTTAATAGATGCTACAAATGAAATGTATACTACATTCAGATTTTACACTGTATACGCTTGTTTTTAGTTTCAAAACTTTATATAATCGAGAAGTTTCTCATGAAAAATTTTTAAAAAATTATTCAAACATAAAATTAGCCATGCAAATTATTTTACATATATATGGAGGTGTAGATCCATTTGATGGAAGCAACCAATGAAGATCGTATATACATAGCATGTGACAAATAAAGTTCACTGCGGCAAGTGATATTCTTTCAACGGATCTCGAATCTAACCAGAGTACTGTTAATGTGATAATCATTAAAACTGAAATTTAAATAATAAAATCATATGAGTATATATTATTATTATACCATTTTCTTATGTATTAGGATTCGATTTTAGATTCGATTTACTAGACATTATGTTAAATAAATTATAAAATTCAGTTCCATAGTTTACCAACAGCAGGAGTAACAAAAACTGCATGAATCATGGAAGAATGCCTTTGCAAATTGAAGTCAACTATTAATGTAGGAAAAGTATCATTGGGACAACAGTTGAATTTTGGACTATATTTTCTTGCTGTGTAATTTCTAATTAACCATTGTTTGTGTGGTGTAAAAGTTAACATGTTAATCTAAAAATTAACGAATGACAAATAATTTTTATTTTTTTAAATACATATTTCTAATAGTATTTATTCAAATGACTATATCATTATTTATTGAATATATTTATATATAATTAACTTTTATAAAATTAATTAAAAACATATTTTTTTGAGTTATATACTCAACTCATTGTATAATATATTTTGAAGAACTATTAAATAGGAATTGCATGTATTTAGAGGGTAATTATTTTTAAGAAAATGTTTTCAATAATTAGTAAAAATTGAATAAACTGTTTGGAAAAAATATAAAATATTTATAAAAATATTTAATGTATAATTATATTATAATCATATTATACAAATTATTTTGTACTTCAGATAATGTAGCTATATAAACGAAAATTGGTTTTGTGTGTAAAATTATGTATAAATACTTATAAATTAATATAAATTTCATAATATTATTTCGATTAATATAAAAATTTTAATTAACTAATTTATGAAAAACATTTAAACATTTTTCGTTATATAATAGAATGTTTTTATAAGAATAAGTATATAATATAATAATAATAATAACAATAATAATAATAATAATAATAATATAATAATAAGTAAATTTGTATTCATTTTTTTAAATAAATCATGTTAATTTTAAAATATATATTTAAATTGAACAATTATGACTTACAGATCTTTGTCGAAAATCAAAACTAATTTCTTCACCTGTGTGAGTCCATGAACCCATATGAATACTGCATACTTGTGTATCGTATGGCCAATATGTAAAATCTGTATCGCATTGAGTGCTATATTTAATAGATGACACGCAGATTACGGTACCCGTATATGTGATTTGACAAATTGTATCAGATATGCCGGTTTGAGAACGGTCCATGTCTCCTCTAGAGGGTATTGTTATTAATAGTTCTATAATATCTTATGTGAAAGCGATTATTTGTATGTATGCAATTATATATAGATTCAAACATTTTTTTTATTAAATGTTTTTAAAAAGAAACGTATTTAAATATTTATCCATTAAAGCTATATTTCCATTATTTTTAATCTATTAAAACTAATTACATCAAATACAATATTTTATAATTATCTTTTAAAATTCAAGATGATTGCTGATATATTAAAAGTAATAAGAAAGAAAATGTCAGACTTATGTAAATAAATATTAATATTAATATACAAATTAACAAAAATCACTGTAGGAATTTTTACAACGTATAATATTTACTTACTATAATAACTTCAATTTTGATTTTATTAAATATAAGATGAAATATAAGATAAAACAATACGTACGAGTTATACACTGAAAAATCTGGTACCCAGATTTCATCACTTTTCACGCGCATTCTATTAACTTCATTGAAATCATTTGGTTTCCATGTTAAATGTTCATCTTTCCAATTCTATTACAAAATATTATTTTATAATTTACTTTAGTGAAAAAGATATTTATATGAAATTCGAAATTATACATACAATAAATATCCATGAATGAAGAATAAATGTACTAGTTCGATCAATCTATAAATATAATTTTTTTTCAATTTTATTGTAAAAAAAGTATTATTATATGATGATAAATTTATTTAGATTGAACAAAGTCTAATTTCAAACTTTTTCAAAGCACACAATTTTTTATATTTATATATTATTCAGATAAACATTTTTTACTCAATTTAAGGATAGATAAATGTTGGAAGTTTACAAATTATAAATTATTAATTTGTAATGGAATGTAGTAATATATAGTTATCAAAGAATATAAAATATGTATGTAGTGAACTTACAAAGTCCATAAACTTTGGTGAAAGGCTGATAGTGACATTAACAGCAGTACCTTTCTGTAGAACTGGTCTTATCGATTTATCATACTCGCAAAATAAGTGTCTTTTAAGTCGTAGCGAAGGGGATTTGGACCCAATTACATTACATTCAGGTGATCCTTCAGCGCGACATCCAATTAAAAAGTTTAATAATATAATAAAGATAACGAGCACCATGCTCTTGACGTTTCTTCTTTTGTTCTTGTATTATGAACGCTTGATCGAACTACGCTTGTAGATCGTAACTGATCGACGAAAACTATATATCGTACGTCGGCAACGTCAACGCCCCGTGTAATCTGACGCGGCGCCGAGATATGTCATTCAATGTAACGCCCACCACGTCTTAGTATTATATTGTCTATAATTTTATGCAATTTTCATTGACAATTAAAAAACAATTTTTAATCTATTTCAAAACTTGCTTTTATTCTTTAAGATTCATGTGTATAAATGGAAATTTAATTTATCAGGCGATATACATAATACATAAAATTTTATAAATTAATAAAATAATTAGTATTATCATTTTGGACAAATATCGTTTAAAATAATTTAAAAAATTTAATCAATTAATTTATTATTAGTATATCATATTATAAAATGGATTATAACAAATTTGAACTTAATGAATTTATTTCCAAGTTTTTTTTTGTACAGATCTATCAATTTAATAAAAAAATTTATCTTATATTGTATAGTTTATTCTATTACTTCATATTAACTTATTAGTATAATTTAAACATATTTTTAATTTATGCACACAAATATATTTAATTTTATCTATGTGCATAAACTGTAGTATTATTTAGAAATGATTTATTGAAAATAATTTTATTACTTACAAATTTATATTCTCAATCGTGTATGCATAATTGAACTTATATACTATTTATTCATATGTGTTATTCAATTATTGTTGATTAAATATCAATGTAGTTCGTCGCTTAAAGCTTCTGAACGTGTATAACGTATAATTTTTCTTCTTTATTCGAAAGGAATTTTATATAACATTTTATTTATAAGCATAATGCAACTCTCGGAATAATTTATTTTTTGTAATCAAGAAAATTTTGCAATTTTACTTGAATTTATTTGATTTATTCCATAGAAGACGGTTGTAAATGTAATTTACGTGCTATACCTACATTTTTATATCTATAGAAGTCATTATAGGGTCACTATTATCCATCATGTGTTTATTTTGTATTTATTATATATGTCATATATCAACAGAAGTAACTTCGTATGCTTTGCTTCTATTCTTTCTCACTCTGCTGTTTCATATAATCGGGTATATTAAAATTTGAATTTATTTGTTTAATCGGGTATATTAAATTTGAATTATATTTATTTGGACTTTTTCTCAATATTTATATCAACTGACTATTCTTTCCTATAGTATAATTTTTAATACATTAATTTTACTCAGACTCTTTCTTGTAATTAGTAATTAGTCTTTGTAATGCTTTTATTAAATAATCTAAAAAGTATATAAAATAATATATAAACATTAGTTGATATATTATTTAAGCATTTTCAAAAATAATGTTCTATAAGATCACTTTATTTATATAAATAATTTAGTATTATATAATAATAAGTAAAAAAAATTATTTATTACAGTAATCTAATTATTGTTATAAAAAATATTCCTCACATTTAAATCACTTGTAAGTTATACTTCATGTTTCTGCACTTTGAATTAGTAATAATGTATTAAATAAGTATTTATGGATCTGTAAATAAAAGTTTTATAATTTTAATTATAAAAACTTCTTATTTTTTAACCTAAATTTTATAAAAGCAATAGATATAATATGATTATAAAAATAATTTTTTAATGAAATCATTTCTAGATTAATTTCTTAGAAATGTAAATTATCCAGTACAGAAATATAATGCAGTATTGTATATAATAATATAGCACATAAGAAATATATATTAATTAGAAAAATTGAATATATAGTATATTTTCTAATTTATTTTTGACATTTAAAAAAATCGTGCATATTTTAAACTATTAAAGTCAAGTTTGTATTTCCTATAATAAAAGAAAAAAATTTTCAGATATAAAGCATAAATTTTTTTCGTTTAATAATAACAGATTTATTATTACCTAATTTCGTAATTTCGTAAATTTCGTACTTCTAAATTATGAATTAGATTTTATAAAAAAAATTGTGATAAATGTTACTTCATCGTTTTATCATTATTTTATTGCTGTAATAATATAATGTAATTTAGTGTATAAATAATATATACATAATATTGCTTGTAATATTATATAATACTCATTTAGACTGACTATTTCTTTTAGGTTTCATTAAACATAAGACACGTTATACAAATTATGAGCATATTCATGTAGTTAAGCAATAAAGTAAATAAATAAAAATATCAGTAAATATATTGACTCTAGTAATATTTAACTTGAAACAGATACCGAATAATAGTCACTTGCATAAATTTGTCAAAATTATGGACTTTTTTGTAATTTTCTTATGGTAAAAGTATGTATTGGTCGACGACTTAAATAATTTGCTAGATTTTATGATCTATTATAATTAGGTATTTTTAAATTATATATTATGTATCTGTAAAATATGCTAATTTTTTAAGAAATGAAACTAAAAAATTTAAAACTAAAAAAAATAATTGTATGTTTATACATAATTTTAAAGAGATAATAAATTTGTTAACTGTTATAATAGAATATATATAAAGTATTGATTATAGGTAGATTTTATTAAAAATGCATGGTTCTGCAAATATATAGTATAAATATATATAATAAAATATTAGCGATATTTATACATATTAAAAAGGCATTATAGTTTTCTAAATTTAAATTCGAAAAATTTAATACTTATAATCATATATTATAAAATATTATTTACACATTGTTCGTTTAATATTAAGAATTACAATTTTTTATCATAAAAGGAAGTAAATTATAGAAATTGAAATATTTTTATTAAAAATATATAATGATATAATAAGAAACAGCGATAATGTTGTTCTAAATGTTTTTTGTTTAAAAAGTTTTATGAATCCAATCATAGATGACAGAATTTAATTCATTTTTCTCAAATTTATATAAAGATTCATTAAAATACAATAAAATCGGATATTTTTATAGTTTGGATATTTGTTCTGATGTTATTATAAATATTTTATTTTGTTGAATGCAATGATATTAATAATATTTCTACTATGTATTAACATATATTAAATAAAAATAATGCTACATTATATATTTAAAACCATTTAATAATAAAATTATAATTAAAAATAAATATGAAAAAGATATTTGTATCTTAACATTATGGGTTTACGTTTAAAATTTACAATTAATTATTTTGTAATATAATATATAATTGATTTGCACTTTACATTATATATTTTCGCGCTAAAATATTCAATTAAATCGTAATTTTAAATATAAATATAATATACTAACTACTGCTTTGCGATTTACACTCATGAAGTTAATGAAATAATATTCATTTCTTTAGATGAATTTATTTATCAAATTAATATTAAATGATTAATAAGTAATTACTCTTTGATAGGAAGTTGCATGCTACTAGTGTAATCAATACAGCGAATTAGTATATTATATTTCAGTGCATAACTGTGCTTAAATATTAGAGTAAATTTTATAATTGATAAAATTCGAGATTGGCAAGTAAAGAGCGGTCAAGAACACTAAGGAATTTGTGTGCACACTTTAAGCTTGCAAGAATCAATATACTGTGTGGATTTTGTATAACCTATATTTGCGTTCCTTGCGTTCCATTATTATTATTTTTTCGATCAATTATAAGAAATTAAGTTTCATTTTCCCGGAGTAACATAATATAATTGTTTTCCGACATGAATGGTGGTGTATGGGAAGTTGTCGGTAAGAATAAAAAAGAGAAAAATGTTGGAAAAGTTGGTAAACTTAGCAAAGTTGAAAAGAAGAAATTTATTGAAAATGCACCTAAACTAGAAGATTTTTGTAAGTTTTTATTATTTTTATTTCAGAATTTTGTACTGAAAAGGAAACATATGCTTGTAAAAAAACTAATTGTTACTTTTAACAATTTTATTTGTTTTACACATTTTACAATTAATTTATGAATTTTATAGTTGATATATATAATATATAAGGTATTTTTAAATAAATATAAAAAGAATTAATGTTGAATACTGTGATGAAGTTTCATTATTTAAAGTATCCTTTACTATAATATTATAAATCTTATTTATTTATATATAAAATCACTAAATGGGATACTTTATAGTCATTATATAGTTAATATATGAATGTTTAAAATTTTTTAATTTATGTTATAAGTATAAGTATGTTGTATTTTAAAATTGCAATTGTACAGAAATGATTTAAAATTCAATAATATATTATCATAAGCTCTATCTTTCAATATTATATTCAAGACAAATTCTGATATTAATTATTATTTAATTTTATAGTACCCTTAGATCAAGTGAGGTCTTTATATAATAACTTAGATGGTAATAAAGAGAATAAAAAACCTGTGAAAGAAAAGGAAAGTAAAACTAAAGAAAATGAAGAAAAAAAAAAGCAACAGAGGCAGTTACAAATTGAGAAGAAAAAGGAAGAACATCCTAAAGAAAAAATACCAAAATCAATAGAGGAGGCACTAAATTGGGTATAATATTAAATTTTATATAAAATTAATAATAATGAGAATTTATTTATATTCTTCTATTTTTTATAGATTGATGTAACCGAAGTACAAAATTTATTATTAAATCATCAAGCTCGCTTTCCAGATGCACCGTTAATTTGGCTAAAGATACTTGTGGCTTTTTTAAATTCAAAAATCACTGTTGAAAAAGATGATCCTGTATTTTCTAGTAGACCTAGTACATATCCCTTAATTCTTTTACCAAAAGATTTACGTAATGTATTTGAGAAGACTATTGAAAATGCTGGTGCCTCAAATATTCAACTTTTTTATGAATTTATTCTGACAGCTATGACTACAAAAATGGTAAAAGGTGTACCTGTTGTAGGGTATAAAATATTTGTTCAACTTTTAGCTAAATATGATCCTAAACTCAGTATGGTTAATATACCAAAATTAATTAGTATGAGAAATTCTTATCAGAATAGGAAGCCTATAGGATTGTCTCTGTTGTGGTCTTTCAATCAGGGAGGGAGAGAAAATTTAATGATTGGCTTGCAAGTATGGCATGAAGTTATGTCTCCAATGCTCGAAGCAAAAAGTTACTCTAGTTATATAATTCAAATGTTGAATGATCTTCTTACATGGCATAGCGATGAAAAGAATCTTCAAACTGATTTATATTTTAATATTTTAGAAGACTTTTGCTCCGGTAAATTAAATATTTCTCAATCTGTAATTGACGAAGGAATTTTAATTCTTATTAAATTAAGGGTATGCAAATAAATTAAAAATAAATATCATTGAATTTTTTATGAGTTGAATGTATTTAAAATTTTGTTATTTACAGATTATACTTTTTAAAAATAACAGTATAAACTACAGGAAGCTTTTTGAAACTTTGTTTTTCAAAGTGACACCAAAAACACTTGAAAAATATAAGAATGAAAGTTTGAAAATGCTTTTAAATTGTGTGATACATGATGAACAGTGTTTTAATGTATGGGAATCACTTCATATGAAAAATTTATTTATATCTAGTGAATTTTTAAAATATATTGGTATGTATGTTATTTATCAATTAACAATAAATTATATATTTTATACAATTATTCAATATCAAGGTATTTTTTAAATAGATTCTTGTTGGCATTCAGTACATTTATTTATAAATACAATATCTTTTACAAATGTTCTCATTTCATTTCAATCATCATATAAAAAGTCAAAGAAGGGAAAACGAAAAGAAGATAAATATCTTTATTTATGTAGCAGTCTTTCTAAGGTAATTTAAAATACTTTTATATAAAATTAATAAAATATTTAATTCTTTAATCTAATCATGTATATAGTCTGCAGTCCTATTACAGAACTGTCAAATTTTTAAAGAAAGATAATTAAATATTTTAAATCGTAAAATTGATTCTCTTTATTTAAAAGAATTTAAATATCTAGCAAATAGAGATATATATAATTACATTAGATGTTTCATTTAGTATATTTTTTCTAAATTCCATATAACGTTTAATAAATTTTTAAAATGAATACATTAAACAATGAGTAAAAATGTTTCCATGTTCTTATTTTTTTAGTTATCTATATATATTATAAATAAATATTGTCTAAATATTTCTTTTAAAAACTATGTTATAATGACAATCGTTAGGATATTATATTATATAATCATATAAATATTATATATATATATATATATATATATATATATATGTATATGCATATATTGATGTGTAATACATTATATACATTCATTAATATATATTTCCATTATTTATTCCATTAGTTATTCTAATTATTGGTTTTTTTTTTATTGATGTATATAGATAATTCTGAATATATGTATAGCCTTTTATTTTCATGTATAGAAGTATAATTTGAAATAAACTTTTTTTAATATACTGTTTTCATTAAGTTAAATAAAGGTATTTCTGAGACTGTACATGTTGTTGAAATATATAACTTTTAGCAATTTAGAGTGATATATTAAATATTATAGGTTTTTAAGATAAGTTTTACAGATTAGCAAAATTTTCTGAATAACTGTTTGTAAATAATTAAATATAAAAATATGCATCTACAAAGATGTTTATATTTTTAAATGGTCACCAATTTTCAAACACATAAAACTGAAACAAATATCTTTATATTCATTTGTAGTTATCAAACTTATGGATTATTTTCACTGATTAGATTTAATTTAATTTAATTTAATTTAATTCTTTCCCAAAACGTTAAAATTATTTAAGTTTTGGAGAACATTTAAATTGTCACATATTTATTTATTGCTCATCTATGAAGCTTTTAAATTCAATGTACATTTATGGATTTATATGAGAATTTAAATTGGAATTTTTATTATGTAAAATAAATATACATGAATTTAGTTATAAGTAAATTTGTTTGAAATAAAATTGTTTAGTCAATTATTTAATTATTTATAATATAAGTTTATGATATTAAGTTACATATATTATATTATAAGAAATAAATAATAATAAAAAAATTACTATCGTACATTTTTAATTCAACAGTTTGTTTTGTATTTATTTTATATCTATATTTCACATTACATAAGAGTAAATTTTTAGTTTAGTTAATTTTTAAAATATATTTAACTTTGTGTTTTTATTGTTTAAATGTGTATAAAAATATGTATTATAAATTATTATTAAAGCTTAGATTCTGTAAACGTAAGTTATTTATTTTTTATAGTTTTTTATAACTCGAATTATCATTTAATTAAGAATGTATGTAAAAAGTAAAAGTAGGTTATCGCAAGGTATTGAATTTAAAAATTGATAAGATGTTTCGATTTCAATATGAAATATTAAAGCAATTTATTTATCATTGATTTTTTATTTGTATAGTTATTAATCGTAAGAATTTTAAATTACTATTGGAATACTCAAGATTAATTTAATATAAGAATTTTAATAAAAATTCTAAATGAAAAGTTGTAGTTAATGAAATAAAATTTCATAAATATTATATTTTAATTCATATTTTGTTGCAAATATTTTGAATATTTATTTCTAATAGCTAGCAATTATATATTAATAATTAATTAAAATAATTTTCTAAATGTGACTAATCATAAAATATTGTAAAATGTTACTTTTTGAATATATAAATGTATTACTTTAACGAAATACGAAGCGTATTTAAAAAAATGTCTTCAAATTATATATCAAGTAAATAGGAATTACAGAGAGATTAATTAAAGAGTAGATATTTTTATTTAAATACTTTATACATAAAGGTTGTAATCTTTTAATAACGAATAAAAAAATAAAATTAGCATATATATCTCTGGAAAGTCCAAATAAAAGTAATTGTGTAATTCCGTAAATTATTCGAATTAGACACTAGGTACCGTAATCATTTCAGAGTAATCTATTAGTAAAGTAGTGTTATAAAATGGGTAGTAGAGTAATAGCAGCAGCAGGAGCAACAGCAGCAGCAGCAGTAATCGAGTAGTGGTAGTAGTATGAGTAGTAATTATGTAGTTGTAATTAGAAAACTAGTTGGTGTATACATAAATGTGTAAAAAAAATAATTAAAAAAGAAATATATAAATTTCAATTTATATATATTTGTTGAGGTTAATTTATTAAAGCATTTTATGTGTTTTTAAATACAAATATATTGCTGCGTTATGGAAATAGTTGATTCTTTTAGTTTTATTTTTATTAGATTGGATCACTTTCTTTGATTATACTTAGACATTAAATCGGCTTTCATGAGAGCATGCATGCATCCTTACATTTGTGGGGATTCTTATGTCTGTGTGCGTGTGTGTAGTGTTTCATGTAGAATTATCAATTATGTTAAAAAATAACCAAGAGATCGAAAAGGTAGAGTAACTTTGTATATGAATGCGTGCGTACACATTCCACGAAGATGAAATTGAAAATCATATTTTTTCTGCCCTTGTCAAATCTTCCGTTAACACTGCAACGGCGTCACTTTTTCTGATCCTTTACCATTTTATTAAGTGCAGAGGCGCGCGTACGAATCGCACTAATCTATCGCAGGTTTCGTTACATTTTTCGTATGTAAGCTATACTTTTTGTTTGTAAGTAGATATAGAGAGTGTGTATTTTTTTGCCGAAAATGTCTATTTGCTAAACATTTTCTCAAAATTTTACCTTTTTCTAATAAGTCTAGAAAAGTGTGTTTAATGTCCTTGTGATTTTTATATTTATTTAATTGTAATTATTACTAATAGATGTTATGATTTAGAATTATTTAAGCATAAACTAATAAGAGAAATCGATTGATTTTATAAAAATTAAATTAATTTAATATATTTCATAAATAAATATTGAAAATTTAATATATATAAATAGGTTAATATTTTCCTTTATTTCAGATATTAGATGCTACATTTATAATTAGAGATATAAGTATTATGTATAAATATAATGTATTATATTTAATGGCCTTAGAAAAATTACTACTATGTATAAAATTATTTTATAAATGAAAAATACATGTATCTGTACTGTAAATAGGCGAAAATTTTTTATATATTTTATTTTGTGGATTTCAAATAACTTACTTCTTATGATATTAAATTAATTTATATTTAAATTCAATTTGTTTGAGATTAGTTTGGAGTAGTAGATTAAAAATACAATTTTATAAATTCATAATAAAATTTTGATAATGGTTAATTAATCATTATATTTATAACTAAGTATTATAAATGTAGTTTGTACTTTATGAAAAAATTAATTTTTATGAATTTGTAAATAATATTTCATATTTTTAGGAACTACTTAAAAGAATGTGTACAAACAAATCTAAGAAAAGCAGTTTACTTTGGAAATTTGGGAGCTTCTTTTTACTCTTCTTATTGAGTTTAATTGTTGTATATGATATTTACAAACATGAATCTTTAGAAGGTACTTTTGTAATTTAATAGAATATATCATTTTATATGTAATTTAAAATCATTGAATATTAAACAATTTAATTCTTAGCAACAAATATAGGATCATTCATAAGGGACAAAGAAATAACTACACATGTTCAAAAAACTTATGTCTTTATAAAATCATATTTTATCAAACAGTTTGAATATTTTGAAGCTAATTTTCCACAATATTATAAAACTATTGTTGATCTTTTTAATTCATATATTAAACTGATTAATGATGTTTGCCTTGTGGCAAAATCTGTTATTATACAACTATACAGTAATTTTTCATCTTATTTCTCAACAATAATCCCCATAGTTGTGGCAAAAGTAAGTTTTTATATTTTCATTTAAATGTATTTTAAAACATAAAAAACAGTCTTAATGAAATTGTGTTTATATCTATTTTATTTTTTAACTTTCAATTCATATTTTATTTATTGTTTCATTGTTACAAGCAATAATCTTTATCATTAGATTGAGCTTTATGTTCCTGGATTACTGGATTTTATACAACAAAATGCCTCAAATGGAATACAAATAATGAAAATTTATGCTGAATTGATGATAGATCAGATCATTAACAACCTTACGAAAGTAGTAAGATGGTTGAAAACAAACGTTTTTATGTTAGTATTTAAATAAAATCAAATTCAAATTGTTCTAGTTAATGGAAATTAATATACAATCAATATTTTATTATAATATATGAAATTTCTTGTCAAATTTAAATTGGTTTAAATTTATTTAGAAACATTTTCTATGTCTTTTCAAAACAATTAAAGAAAAATGTAATATTTATTAATAAAGATATACACATATTTTATATTATACATATTTAGTTTTCAATTGATTATAACTCAAATTGAATTGATAAGAATTTTTTACCATAAAATATAAATATAAGATATAGATATACTGTGTAAAATAAAATTTTTTTCAGTGGAAAATTGAGTCCAGAAAATCTACAAATTTATGCTAATCAAGCACTTAACGTAACTCATACTTCTGCTACCAAAATATATTATTGGGTGTACAAAAATATGCAAACACTTTATGAAGTTGAATGAAGAGTATTTTGAGTACCGTGACCAACAATTTAAATTAAACTCCTTTGGATCTATGTTTGTTTGTAAGAACATACGAGTTTTTTAAGTGGTTTTTTTTGATGGACTGAATTACAGCAGCCATTTTACCTGTGATATTAAAAAAGGATGTATCTTATATCTCAGATATATATTTCGATAGTATCAAAAAATTTTAGTAAGAGAATTATTAACTCAATTATGAACATGGCAAAATGTTTTATGGGACATTTAAGAATGACTGTTACAGGAATAATTATGTATAATAGAAACTTTCATTTTATTTTTTTTGTATTATGGATGTATTTCATTAGGAACGAATTAAAAGAAATATAAAATAAATAATTTTTTTTATATAAAAAAAAAAATATTAAAATAGTTTTAATTATTGTAGTTGAACAATTATTCTATTGAATATAGTTAATTATCAAGTACTATTATTACACTACTTCACTCTTACCATTACTATATTAATACTTCTACTACTACTAATACTACTACCACAATTATTAGCAAAAATAATAACAATAATAATAATATTGATTAGCAATATATGAAAATAAAACTGAAATTACAAGATTATTAAAAAATTACAATAGTAAAGTTTCAAATATATTGAGGTATACAATTCACGTCGGCACGATTAAACGCATATAGTGATATAATAAATCATTTAATTGCAAAAGCACTTCTATGAAGTTGATACTTTTTTTTTATCACTTGGTGTAAATTCAGTTTTTCATAATGTACATTTAATTTGTATACAATAAGATGCACTTTTTATTGTACAGAGTTCTCATTTGTAGGTGTATAAAATAGTATTACAATTCATATGGAAAAAAAAGTTTCATAGTATTCTTGTATATTTGATTACAAAGATATTCTTCCTCTTCATCTCTTATACTTGCAAGTACTTCCAATATTTGACTGAAATAATAAAAGTCTTTAAAAAAAATTAAAATAATTGGTTTTGAATGTAATTATAAATATATGAAATTAACTTAAATCCATTCATTTTATTTTTTTACAGAAAAGTTCACATGTTATTAATTTTTTTATATTCAAGATTTGGAACATTATATTTTTTATCATATTAATAAATATGTATATTTCTTACACAATAGTACAGGGCTCGTTTCGTCCTTTAATCATTTTATCAGGTTGCCATTTTTCTTTCTTAACTGAAGAAAATTGCGTTACAATATCTTTGGTAGAAGCATGAGTTGGCCTGATTTCACACCATGGACAATCTGTTTCTATAACAAGCTTATCCGATGGTATTGTTGTTACAACAAAAAGATTTTCTTCAGTCTTAAGAGAACTGAAAATATAAAAATACAAAATAACAATTGGCAAATTTAAATAAAATTTTAAATAATCAAACGAAACAAAATTATAAATTTTAAATTGATACATACATAAAGCAATAGAAATAAATTGTTTGAAATGCAATTCAAATATAAATACGCAATACTAAAAATAGAATATATTCATTTCAATCATTGTGTTCCAAATAATTAAAATTTTAATTCGGTTGAAAGCTATGAAGAATTATGAATATGAATATTCAAATACTATAATACATTAGAAATATAATAAAAATTTTAATAGCTACCATCCATTAATTCCAATATAGAGTCCTAGTTGTAATATACTATATGCATCTTCAGTGTTACCATCAAAAGAATGAACAACACCTGCTGGTAACCTATCTTTATGTTTCCTGAGAATGTGTACAAAATCTTCTGTTGCATTCCGACAATGTAAAAACATAGGTAATTTAAGTGTTGAGGATAAAGATAATTGCATTTCAAAATATTTTTTTTGTGTTTCCTTCGGGCAGAACTGTAATCTGTCATAGTCGAGACCCATTTCACCTATTGCTATAATTTTATTTTTATTATTAAGAGCAAGTTTACAGAAGGAATCTAGATATGCTTCTGGATCACCAGATTCTTCAAATTCATTGCATCTTGTTGGATGACAGCCGACAGTAGAAAAGAGTCTTTCTACAAAATATAGTTAAGATCAATGAAATATTTATTTTAAATCTATTAAAATAATTATATAGGCTTTTAAATACATACCATCAGTTTTTGCTATTTCTAAAGCTTTTTTACTGTCTTCCAAACTACTTGCAGTAATAATAATTTTTGACAGATTATTATTCCAGCTACGTTCTAAAACTTTATCAAGATCTGGCTGATGCTTCTGTGAACCATTATAAACACCTTGATACATGGGATCCGTTAAATTAGCACCGATATCTAAAATACATTAAAAAACTAATTATATACGGTTCATAGACCTTTACATTTTTTAAAGGCACAATAGTGATTGAATTATTCAGTCTTAACCTCAAAATAGATTGTTGGCTTTTATAAATATAATTAGAGCGCATAGAAATTTTTAATAATTATACAGTCGTTTTACCTATAAATTTCCGCAAATTAATCATTGTCCTTATCATATGTGTCAACGATTTAGCAGTCTCCAGAGCTATAATCGCCAGGACGTCTAGTAAAGATTAGCAGGTGTTCGTCTTCATTTAATCCGACACTGATCGGCGGGAATCTAACTCTGTTTTAATTTGTGTGTAAGTGTTAAAAATAGAATATCTATTAATTTTATGTTTCTTTAGAAATATCTTATATTTGTGCATATTCTTAATTCTTATAGGTTAATTCAAATTCCATTAAATTGATAAACAAGTATGATAAACAAATTAACTTTTCTAAGATATACATCAATAATAAATTATTATTGATAGTTATTATTATAAATGTACTGAATGAACCAATATTTAGCAGCAGATGATTTTTATAATATAATAAATTTCATTGCAATTAACTATTAGATTCAATTTCTATCAAATAATAAAATTCACAAATAAATATAAATTTAGTTTTATTAGATCATACGTGTTTATTGAATAATATACTTTTTTATACCTAAATTATGTAATTTATAAATAAAGGTAAATAAGTATGTGCAAATTTTTAGTAAATAATATAAATTCTAAATTAATATTTAAGAACTCTCTATTTACTTTTTATACACTTTCTGTGGTATGGTTAATTTCATAATAATGTAATGAATGATATTTTTAAATAAAACTAAAATAATCTAAATTATCAATTATTTCAATTTTAATAACACTTATATTTAATAAGATATAAACATTTTTAAAACAAATTTCAATTATGAAAAAAATAACTTTTTATTCTAATTTAATTTGCAAATAATAATTTCTTCATTTATTATACAATTATATATTACTGTAAATATACTTTATATGCATGTTTTCAGTGCATACATATTTTCATAAATTATTTTCCAATTTAACATAATTTAAACATTTATAATAAAAATATAAATATTATGTTCGATAAACATTGTCATGCTTTTAATTAAGTCAATTTTTAGTCGGTATAAATACTAATCCATGAATAAAATTAAATGACAACCAATAACTATTTAAGTATTTGAAAAATTCAAAATGTTTAATAAAATTGCTGATTTATTTGAATTTAAATATTTAGAAATATTAATAAATTTTTATTTTTTTCAATACATAAGAAAAACAATGAATTAGAATCAGATACAATTACACGTAATTCTTATTTTTTGTAAAATATATTTTAATTTATAATAGCAAAAGCTGTAATTAATATTTTATCTATTAAATGTTATTATGAATATGAATATAATTTGTTGCTAATATTAGAAAGACGATCGATATAATAATATACCATTTATTATGGAACTGTATTTATAATGTGAACTGTAATACATAAATTGAACCTATTAAAATATATTTATAATACAAACTAAATTTAGATGGATCAAGTTCTATAGAAACCTTACAAAAACATGTACATTAATTCTAATATTTGTATTCTTATGTTGTTATTATAATTTCTATTTTTATCTATATTATTATAATATTATACATATATATATATATATAGAAATTATTTCAAATTTATATTGTTCTAATAGTTTTGAGATTATTTAAATTTGTATAGATTTAAAAATACTAGAATATTTCTTAGTTAATTATGATTAATTATAAAAATTAGCGGAAAAACATTTAAACATTTAATAACTAAATATTTACAATACTTTTTATAAAATAAAAAATTGTTCAATATTGTTCGAATAATGTTATCAATAAAATATATAGTATCCCAATAGATTTATATATATATAACTTTTTCTCTATATATAATTTTTTTTTAAGTGTAATAAAATTGAGGTACATAATAAGCATATTGTACTTAAGATATGAAACTCATTTAATAACTCTTTTAATAAAGTGTGTTTTATAAGAAATATGGTAATCGTAAAATCATGTAAAATTTTGTCAAATAAAACATTTTGGCAAAAGACGATATTTTTTCTATAGCCAATGTTACAAAATTATTCTAACTATTGGTTTAAATATTTGTACACACATTTATTGAAATTTAAAAAATAGAAGTTTTCTTAGCCGTTAATGTCGATCGTGTGTAACAATTATATTATTATTGAAAATTGTTATAAATAAATTGTATAATTATTGTTACAATATAAATTTTTCTAAAGAAATTACGAACATTTATTAGCATTAGTTCTGATGTTAAAATTTGAAGATCATAAATGAGTATGGAAAATTAAATTTGAAGCATTTAAATCGCGTTATTTAGATATTTTGAAAAGATTTATCAATTTACGAATTATGATTGAAATTATTATATTCTATTATTATAAACCTGTTTTACTTCTAACTAGATAAAATTAAAAGATTAGAATTTATTATTCTTCAATTTTTTTTACTAGATAAAATTAAAAGATTAGAATTTATTATTCTTCAATTTTCAAGAATTTTTACATCGTTTTCAAAATTACTTTTGGTTTTTTAAAAATTATGATTATTAATATTTTTGTACATCGTACACTCTATGGCTAATTATATATGAATATCTGTTTGGTACAGATCTTGAGAAAATGTTAAAAATCTTTTTTTTTAAATTCATACCTTTTTGTAATTGATTTATTGAGAACTAGTATAAAACAAATTTAGTAATATAAAGATAATAGTTTATTACATGATTTTAAATAATTAAAGTTGCTGTAAATATTGCAAGAATTATGATGTATTGTATTTAGAAAATTGTATAATAAAAAACTTTAATTATATAAATTTATGAAAGGTTTTTTAAATTTAGAAAACTATAATACATAAGGAAAAATATTTTGATTAAGAAAAGCAATCACTTTCTGACTTATTAAAGTTTTTAATCAAATATATAAAACGACTCATAACATATATATTACAAAAAATATAAAAGAACAAAATTTTTTTATCAGGGCAATTTCATATTTTGACATAATTTTTAATTTTGAAAATAAATATAAAAATACAAATATTTGAAAATTTTACGGTGCAGTAGATATTCTATAAATTTCAATTTTGAACTAATGATAGTTTATATATAAAATTATAACATGATTTTCATTATTTTTATGAGATATTTGTACATTTTGTATCACTATTTATGTAAGTTTTAGATAATATTAAAAATTTTTATTATCAAATAAAATTGTTCAAATTGATTTATAAATTAAATTGTAATTAATAGTTGATTTAATAATATAAAATTGTTTTTATGGTTATAAAAAATTATATTATTATATTTTATACATAATAAAATGACTGTTTTCTATTTTATAAATATCTAAGATATATTGTTATATATCATGCTTTATGTATAATTGTTAATGTGTGTATATACACTTTTAATATTTCATACAAAAAAGTTTATTTTATAATTATTTTATTAAAATCATCTTTTATAACTCACAACACATAAATGCTTGTATTGAGATGAAAAATATGAAAATAAATTTGACAGTTGTGATTCAATAAATCAGTTCTTTACTTATTTCATCAGATCTGCAGTTAAATAAGACAATAAGTAAAAAAAGTTTCTTCACTGCAATGATTTAACTACATTATTTATTTTTTCCACATATTCTTCTTTTTTTTTGGCAATAGCTGCTTCTGCGTCAACAAATTGTTGGCGACCAATTTTTCCTGGTACCAATTTATCAATATACATTGATTGTTGTTGGTTGTATAATTCTTTAAGAGCTTTATCATGTTTTTGAAGCTCTTGTATTCTATCATAAACATCTCCAGCTTCTCCTTTTAATTTTTGAGCTGTATAAATCAAATATTATAAATTTACTACAATTAAAACTACTATTTTAAAAATAAATAACTTGTTTACCTAATTCCGTAACAGCTGCAGTTGCGTTTTTATATTCCTGTTGAATACCTTTAATTGCAGATAAATATGCATTGACATCTTTATTTGTCTTTAAATATGACAATTTATCATCCAATTCATTATAAGATGAAACTCTACGATCCTGTGCTGCTAAGATTTTTTCACATTGTCCAGCAACTCTTAATTTACTTTCAGAGATTTCATCCTTATCAATAGAAAAATCTAAACGCACATAAATAATAACAAGTAAAAATAGTAAATAAAGAGCCACAGTAACTAAAAGTGGTTCCTGTATCATTAATAATTTTGGAAATGTGTATTTCAGCTGAAAATTTTGAATATGATTCTCTACTAAATTTTTCTTAGCTACAGATATTACTGGACGTCCCGTGGTATCTAAATAAGTATATTGGAGACTGCCTGGTAAACGAGAACTTACATATGGAAGTTCTAATTTAATGCTATTTGATCCCTCTGGTAAAATAATTTTTACAGTCATTTCATCAACAACCATATCATCATATATGTGATCTAACAATCGCATATCTAAAATATAATCATTTCCCAAATTATACAGATATTCATAACTTGGTACATTGTACCCAATTGTATAGCGAGTCTTCCATCCACCAAAAAGTGGAAAGCGTAATTTTAAATTTAATTCAACAGAATCTTTCTTTATTCTAGTATGGGAAGTTGAAATATTACCAATTTCATCTCTATAATATATGTCAGAGGCAGCTGCTGGTAATACAGTATCAAAACTTTGAACACTTGATTGTCCAGATTTCCCTTCTCTTGCATATTCATATCTTGAAAACGAACCTATAACATAAAATTAAATAAAATTTTATTTGCAATTAATGGAAATAAATTATCAATTATTGCAAAAAGCTTTTTATAATTTATTTTTAAAGATATTACAAGTATATTAGTATTAAAATTATTTTATCAGAAATAAAAGCTGTTACAAACCTTTTAACAATGCTCCTGTATGCAGTAAATCAATAGTTTCTTCTACAGCAATATTACCCCAATGGGATACTTCAATAGTTCTTTCAAGTTTTGTAACAGTCAAAAACTTATTATTATTTTCAAAATGTATAATTAGTTCTTCTTGAGAAAAAGCACCTTTCTTATCAAATGGACCATAACTTATGGTAGAGTCACTTTGAGATACAGGTTTGATTTTAGTATAGTTTTCAATATTTCGAGAAGGTAAAATAACTGTTGTTGTTTGCTTATTTACTGAATATGGTGAGAATAAATACAGATTTCCTAAATATTTAACTAATTGTTTTTCCTTTTGCAATATTACTTTTGGATGAGGAATAAGTTCATGTGTTAAAACTACTTCAACTTCAATTGGTACAGTTCGTTCTGGTTGCAATGGATCCTTGAGTTCAATAGAATAAAATAATTTATCTGGATAAGCTTTATTTATCTCTGAATTTTTTATCTTTTTAACTTTTAATTCTGGTCTGCCATGTCCACGAAGCAGTGCTGATATATAACTCAATTGTTCTTTCTGCTTACCATCAAGTGTAAAATATAGATTAGACACCACGGTTTGACCTTTGTTTTCCACAATCAGTTTATTGGTGATCTTGGTTATTTGCGAGTGTAAATTGATAGTTATATCAGCACTTTTAATGTTTAAATTAGGATTGATAGAGCCGCAATTAACCAAGCAACAAAAAAGTGCAAGGAACGCTAAAACTTTGAAGAGAGAACTCCATGAAGCGTAGAATTTCATTGCTTTGAATAAAGATTTAAGAAACGTAAGATTATTATTCGTAATTGAAACTATTTCAAGTCGGTAATGTCTTATAAATTTGATTAAGTCGGCATTGGCTCAGACAATTTGCAGTTTTCAGTACTGACAGTGGTTAGCGCTCAGAACTTCGAACCTCAGATATGGAATTCGAAAACATGAACGTGGCTTATTACCAAAAGGTTAGGTTTGGTAGGAACAGAGACGAATTGAAACTGATAATATGGGACAATAAGCTTTCCGTATAACATACGAAGTAAAACATTTGGATCAGTGATTTAAAATAAGGAAATAAATATAAAATATTCAAATTTTAAAGACAAACTATTTTTTAGTAATAAATTAATATTTTAATAAAAATAATGTGGACAAATCAACATGAATTATTAATAATTAAATATTTGCTTTGTTCATGAAATATATTTGTAAAGCTAATATTGGATATTGTAAAATCTTCCTTATATATTGAAGTTTTGTGAATACATGAAATAAATTATTATATGAGAAATTATAAACTTACAAATTTAATATGAAAATAAACAAATCTTGGTCACATAATGATCTATGAAATGATATTCAAATTCGATATAATTTGTGTTTAATTAATTTAATAATAATGCATTTTGAATTGAAAAAGGTAAAATGGAATAGCATTTTATTATCCATTTACAATCCATAATATTATCTCATGGAATTTTCATAGTATATAAATAATCATATATTATAGCAATATATATATATAATATAAATAATCATTTATCCTTTTTAGTCTATTTATTTAAGATTTATTTGGATTTATAGAGGTCATGTATGTTAACATATAATAGCAATAGGATTCAATACTGCAAGTAAAGTAAATAAATAGTTATATATACAAAAAAATTTATTAAAAAATTTATCATGCTGACATTGAAAAATTTAATTGATATTTTATTGAAATTCTTTTGTTGTATCACAATATAGTTTTAATTTTTATGCAAAATTAAATATTACAATAAGTATAGAAATATTACTCATTTAGATTTACATAAATATTATCGACAAATATAATATTAATAACTATACATTTATTTATTAATCATATAAATATAAATATAAAAAAATATATATATATATATATAAATATATAATTTTTACAAATATTTTTAACTTATTAAGTGTTTTAAGGATATAAATATATTTAGATATGTATTTTAAAGATTCCACTTTATTCTTAGATTATGTAAGAAATAAAAATAATAGTTTTGTAAGTGTTTTTCTATTATACCAATTAATAACAACACAAGTTATCAAATTTGTAAACTACTACAAGGTATGGTAATTTCCAAAGTTGGACGGGTATTTAATTTTTATTAAAAATTATTTTCAGTTTTGTTTCCTGCCATTACACAAATGTAAGACAACTAAGGCGCACACGCGATCAAGTATTTATAGAACATATTAATAAATTATTATATATCATATAACTATTATATATTATGATAACAATAATATATCAATGTTATAAAGTTTTAAAGTAATACATCATTTTCGATAACTAGTTTATCAAAATATATGTTGCAGCGTAACCAATGCTTTAATCATGTTGAACTCCTATTTTCTAAAATTTAGAGTTACAAAAAGTATATGATACCACTTATATTTTATTGAATTTTTTTCGAAAATTAATATTACCTGATCATATAATCAATTATAGTATTTGAATTGCTATTTTGATAACCAAAGTAAAATCATAAAATTTTAAATGAATCTTTCAAGATTTTAAGTGATACGTTGTAAAAGCTCGTATTTTAAAAAAATACAATATATTTTTATTGTATCTTAATTCAAGCAACATTTATAAAGCATTCATCGATCAATTATTAATCAATTAGGGATTAGTTTAATTCTATTTTAGCATAAAATTTAGAATTAAAAAGAAAATAAAAATAAGTGGTGGCCACGTGAAGCACAGCTGGACAAATCGTATGCTACAAGCTTGCTGGTCAATTATGTGTATTATTTCTGACTTTTTTTAACCTTACAAATTTCAGATAACGCAATTAATATTTACAGGTTATAGCTGATAAATATGTAGATTGTAATTATAATAAATAAGCAGATTAAAAATAATTAAATAATAATAAATATTAATTACATAACGACTTATTATTTCATTTGATGATATTGTAAATACAAGTAGCAATGTTTAACTACGAAGTTTTGGTGGGCTTGAGAAAAATTACATTCACCCAGTAAGTTTTTTCTTTTACACATTTTCTATTCGCATAATTAAGACGTAATTTTTAAATATTCAGTATTTTAACGTTTTATTATTACACTTTAGATTGCAAGGTATTACCCTAAAACCTAATATTTTAAAGCAATTAAACTTTGACACACAAATTGTGTACAGTATTTCAACAAATGTACCAAAACATAAATATACTTTAGAGTTAGCTTTAGAAGATATTAATTTATATAATAAGAAAAGTTTTCATAAGAATTCTTTTCTTGGACAACAAGAGTTATTTAGAAATGAACAAAATGATAATTTAAATGATATGCCTGAGGTAACATAAATTTCTATCTATTTTAATAATATTTTGTGATATTTGTTATTTAATTTAATTTTTATAATATACTAATTATTTTCCTTATGATTTATATCAAAATTTTAGTTGTTTCGAGACCATTTGAAAGATGAAAATAATTATATATCCAGAAATAAAAATATAAAAAAGTCTATCAATAACTTGACTATAGAAAATATTTCAAATGATGTAAAGAATTGGCTAATCAAAGATATAGACAAACTTCCAAACCATGGTATTTTTAAAAATATATTGTAAAATTTTATCTTATTATTTAATTTATTTGTCAAATAATTCATTAATCAAAACATTTATTTTATGTTATTTATATAAAACAATATTTAAAAAATATGAAATTTTAGATCATTATCGTTGTCTTTACTATTTAAAAAATTATACTATCTGTAATTAAAATATATAAAATTTATTTGATTTTATATAATATCAATTTATAAATCAAATAACAATATATAAAATATGATGTAATGTTTTTTTACAAATATTTTTATAGTTTGAAACTCAAGTAATATAAGTTAATTAACATATATTATATTTTCAGATATTTTAAAGGAATTTCCTAATCCAAAACTTCTTCTTCATAATATATATAATAATGTTGCAAATGAAAAAAAAATTGCACATGTTTTAAAATTAGAAACTAAGCTTGTTAAAGTAAAAAATGATAATAAATGGTTATGTACTTGTCATATAAAATGGCCCGAAGATAAATTATTTACTTCGGTGTCCTTTACAAAAGCATCAGCATCTTCATCAGTATCGTTGAAATGCTTATTATGGTTACATTTAGTTAGAAAAATTAAGAATAAAAAACCAGTGCTTTACAATAAACTAGAGATTAAATCCGTATTTAATTATTTTGAAGAATTAAAAATAGAAAAGCCTGCTTTAGAAAATATTAAGAATTTTTTAAACACACATGAAAATGTAAGTATTTTTAATTTATTCTACTGTTAAATTCAATTCAAACAATTACTTTACCTTAATTATCTTCATTATTAATATTTAAATAATCAATAAGTTTTTAGAAGAAAAATATTTTTAGTTATTTTTGTAAATTTTTAAAATCTTTTTATACTTTTCATGTATACAAATTATTTACTTTTGTGAAAATTAATTTGACTACTGTAATAGTATTAAATAATTTGTATGACAATTCAATAAGTACTAAAATATAATGTTAACTCTGTTCTAATTAATATACAAAATAAGCTTAAATAATATATCTGATTATCAAAATATTATATATATAATATTAATTTATATACAATATATAAAGAATAAACAATATATAAGAATATAAACGTAATTATGAAATATGAATATCACATAAATTATTTTTAAAAAATTAGATCACATCATTTAACTCATTGTTAATAAGGAAAGTATTGTGGAAAGATTATAATTTCTGTCAATTTTTAATTTGTATAAAAGTAATTGATTGATACAATTATTACAAACAAATTGGAGTTGTTTTTATTATTTGAACAATATTTTTGTTAAATTTTAATTAGAACATAAGGAATTGTATATCCCAAGATCAAACTAATAATGAAGAAATAATGTCATTGGATAATTTAGTTAAATACAATCATCCAATTTCACAAAAAAGAACAAATTTTAACAGAGATGAATATTTAAAGCAAAATCTCGAAAATCGTCAGAATTCTGTTAAGTTACATCTTCCAATTTTTGAATATAAGTAAGTTTTATTATAGCTTTAAATAATTCGAACAATTTAATTGATTTTATTGTTAGTCACGATTAATAATAATAATATATATTGATTTATTTAAATTATGGTCAATAATTATATATATTAATTTATTAAAAGTTATATAAATATTAGATATATGTAAAGATATATAATAACATTTTTAGATCTCAGATCTTAAAAGAAATTGAAAATAATCAAGTATTACTAATAAAAGGTGATACAGGTTGTGGAAAAACCACACAAGTGCCTCAATTTATTATAGATCATATGATAGCAAGGAATTTAGGAAGCAAGTGTTGTATGATTGTTACGCAACCACGTAGAATTTCAGCAATTTCTATAGCAGAGCGCATTGCTTCTGAACGAAATGAGAAAATTGGAGATGTTATTGGTTATCAGGTACGACTACAACAAATGTTACCTAAACAATATGGTGCTGTACTTTTTTGTACCACTGGAATTCTTTTAAAAAAATTTCAATATAATCCGAAATTGGAAGGCCTTTCTCATGTAATTGTTGATGAAGCTCATGAACGCACTATTGATATAGATATATTATTAGTTTTATTAAAACGAGCAATGAAACAAAATTCTTCATTAAAAGTTATTATAATGTCTGCAACAGTAAATGCTGATTTGTTTCAAGATTACTTTAAATGTAATGTAGTTAATATTCCAGGAAGACTGTTTCCAGTTGAAATGAACTTTTTAGACGAAATAAATAAACTTAAACTTCCATCATGTAAAAATAAAGAGATTCAAGAAAACAATGGAGCATTTGTAAATCACATACAAATTAGTAATTTAATACGATGGATATCTAATAATAAACCACCTGGTGCTATATTATGCTTCTTACCAGGATGGTCTGATATTTTAAATATTCAATCTAATTTGGAAGAAAATCCTGTTGACAATCAACTATTGATTCCATTACATTCTAAAATAGAATATGTAAATCAAAAAACAATATTTGATAAAACACCGAATAATGTCAGAAAGATTATTTTAGCTACTGATATAGCTGAAACTGGTATAACAGTGCCTGATGTAGTTTATGTTATTGATTCCGCATGCCATAAGATACCTAAGTGGGATGAAAACACAGGCTTATCTTCTATACATACTATGTTGATTAGTCAAGCAAACATTAACCAAAGGTATAAATTTTTATAAATTTAAATAAAATGAATTTTACGAATATTACTTTTAGGAATCACTATAATTATTAAAAATATATATTATTGTACATTTATCTACATTAAATTTAAAAAATAAATTGTAATGGTATAATATTCTACATTATTTAATTAAAAAAAATTTTTTATTAGAAAAGGAAGAGCAGGAAGAGTTATGAGTGGCGAAAGTTATCATTTTGTAACAAGAAAAAAATACAATGAATTACATGCATATCCTATTCCAGAAGTATCATGTATTTCATTAGAAAAAACAGTTCTTGATTGTAAAATATTTAGTAATGAGAAAGCTGAAACTTTTTTAGGCAGTATGCCTCAGCCACCAAGAATAACTTCTATATATAAGGCAATCTATGATTTACAACAATTGGGTGCTTTAGATGAAAATGAAAACCTTACTGCTTTAGGTGAAAAATTAACATATTTTTCTCATGATCCAAAATTAAGTAAAGCTATTGTTTATTCCTCTGTTTTTAAGTAAGTATACATAAATATTTTAATTTGAAACAATATTTGAATATTTCATTACATGTTGTTCATAAGCATTCTTTGGCATTGAATATTATTGCAAATATTAATCATTGTTTTGTTTTAATCGCCCTTGATACTATTATTATTCAAATCCAATGTCATAATAATTAAAAGAATTATACTCAATAAAAATGACTTAATTTTTATATTTATTTATAAAGTAAATTAAATATATAAAGACTAAGGTACAATAAGCATTCAATTATGTATATAAATAATTTAAATTACGATTAAAGTTGTTTAGATCAAATGGCAACAATAGTGTCTGCACTCTCCTTAAAAATGGAAATTTTTTACGGAGCATTATATAACTTAAAAAATATAAGAGAAGCAAAGACCAGATTCCATTCATTGAGTGACCACATATCAGTAGCAAATATCTATAATAAATGGCAGGATATTTATTTAAATGATCCTTCAAGTACATGGAAATTTTGCAAAAATCACTGTTTACAAATTGATAGAATGAACTTTCTACATAGTAGGTTTTTATTATATCACATATTATATTAATACATACATTATTATTTAAATCGTAAAATTTTATATCAATATATAAGTAAATATTGTAAACAATATTTATAGAGGTACATATTTGGTACCTAACATCAGTTTAATAAATTAATTGATATACATGTATATTTAAATTTTTAATTTATTAATTACATATTGCTGTCCATTATTTTTATAACTTTAATATTATTTTGACTAATAATTTTAAGAACATTATTTATATAAAAAATGACAATATTTTCAATTCATTCAACAATTCAACAACAAAAAATTCAACATAAAATATTGAGTACACATATGATACTATTATAATATTATTAACTTCTTAATGAAACTGATGTTATTTCTACTTCAAAATTTTATAGGTATACTTTATGACTAAAACTCTGAGTAATGTAAATAATATATAAAATATTAAGTTTATAATGTTTGATAAAGTATTGTAAAATATTAAAATGTGGTTCAAATTAATCTCTAATAATAATTATAAGGTATTGGATATTTATTATTTTAAAACTTCTATATTAAATGTTAATTAATCAATGAATGTAGTAAATATATTTAACTACTTTTCATTCTACAATGGAATATATTGAAAATTTTTTTAGAAATGCAACAATTTAGTTTTGAACAATTTACAATAATTACAGTAATTGAAGAAATTATTTGCTATTTAAATATTAAATTTCTTTTAACGTTTTACAAAATAACACTTAACACGAATGTAAAAATATGTGCATAATTATAATCATAAATAATACTTAAAATCAGTGTATTTATTGTTTGTAATAGGTATAGCATTTTTAAACAGTATTTTTAATAATATATTGATATTAAGATTTAATGATAATGTTTGAAATTATATAATTTTTTAAAAACTAACTATATTTATTATTTTCACTTACTATAATATATTTTATTACTAAATCATAAATCCAATGGAATAAATAAGACTTTAAATTGATTATTTATTTTGTATTTCTATTTAATTAAATTTTAAAATCATGCTAATTTCTGTTTTAGAAATACGTAAACTTAATTTACAATGGGCTATGGAAGCGGGCCTGATAGATGATTCAAATTATTTCCAAGATGAAAGTACATCTATATTCAATACAAAAGAAGATTTCGACGAGCTTGTACTTGGTGTTTTATTAGCTAGTACAAATAAATTAATGTTAAAAAGAAACTTCAAATTTAGAAAAGGGCATTTAACTACATCTAGTATTTCAATGGTTACAGAGTAAGTAAAATTACTTGTTAATACTGAATGGCTATGTCTGCTTTAAGTTGGAAAATTATTTACATCTAATTACATGATTAAAACTGACCATGTTTTATATATTTTTTATAACTTATTTTTGTATTACATATAATTTAGAAACTTTTTAAAAATAATTTTCTAGAATTAATGAAAGTAACAATTATGTATTAATATATATTCAAATAAATAGCTCTGTAACAATATAAATGTGCTTATTATTATACATGTAGGAAAAATTATAATAAATAATAAGAATACATTTATATACATTATAACTGTAACATTTTTAATTAAATCATTTACATTGTCTAACTAAATTTTAGAAAATAATTAATAAAATGAGGTAACAAAAATTAAATTTAAATCATATGTTTTCCTTGAAAATTATATTCAAATAAGTTTATTATTATATAAGTATGTTATTGTACATGATATTACAGTATTCAATTAATTTTAGTATTTTTATTTACTATAATATTGGAAGATAATATTACACTACAAATTATTTATTTTTATCATAATGCATAGTTTTACCTTTTCAGAGAAAATTATAATGCAGAAATAGGCCAAGAGTCAGTAAATTATAAGCGTACTTCTTGGCCAAGTCCATATTTAATGTATTTTGAAAAAATACACAGTCTAATGAGTCGAACCAGTAAAATTCGTGAATGCAGTATTGTTTCACCTATAGTAGTAGTATTATTTACTCAAGGACAAATACAATCTTTAAAGGTAAAATAAAAATTTTAATATTCATAAATATTTAATATTCATAATTTTTATAATTATTTAGAAATTCTTTATTATATAATAATTGGTTTTATATTGGCATTATATAATGGTTTTATATTAGTATTATATAATATCATAACTTTGAATTTATTTTATTTCAAACATCATTCTCATTACTTTATAGAAACTCAATTTCTTATTAATAACTTATTGCATTATAACATATTGCAATTAAAGGATATTTTTTACAACTTTTCAGCACAATCTTAGTAATACTAATGAAGAAACTGTTTTATTAACAACAGAGAATAATCGAAATATTAGATTAGTATGTGATAAAGAGTAAGTATAAATGAATTTTATTTTTAAATCGATTATTGTTATTTGAATGTTATTTCATATTTCTTTTAAACAAAATTTTAATGCAGTTTAGCAGATATTATTTTGCGTTTTCGTGATATTATATGGTTAATTGTTAATTACTATGTTGAAAGAAGGCAAGGCCCAACTGCAATGGATAGTTATAAAACAGAAATGATGAACATATTAAAAAACACACTAAATACCATACCTAATTCAAACGATTCAATGGTATAGATATAATTTAACTTAATTAAAAATATATTTAAGAATATTTAATATTATAAATAGAATTTTTTAATATTATAGTGTAAATATATTGTTTTTACATTAAAAAAATTTGTTTATTACTTTTTTATTTATATTTGAAAAACTTTGATTATTAAAATTAGTAAAAATATAAATATACTTGATTTTTAATATGATAATTTAATTTGGTTCTGTTTTTTGATAATAATAAATTTATTAGTTTATTAATTTAAAATAAAATTTATATAAATTTATTAATTTTTTTATTAGTTTTATATAATAAAAGAGCATATTGATTTTATTATTCGGAAAATTCTTTGTAAACAAACAGATAAAGCTTTCTAAATTAATTTATTACAGTTGTAAATATTATTTTATTCTATATCATTTTAAAATTATAATAAATAAATTTCTCTATTACAGTATATTTTTGTCTAACAAAAATTGTGAAGTTCAATAAACATCGATATATCTGTTTCTCCTTTTTTAAACAGTTTTTTATGTATTTGAAATATAGAAAATAGACAAATTAAATATTATATTTAGATTAATATTCTAGACATTTTTTAATGTAGTGTTGTAAATTCGTCATTTTTTATGGGGAATTTATTATTTATTATTAACTAATATAGTTAAATATACAATTATTTGGTAAGTACAAGATATTAATTGTATACAAATGAAAAATTCTAAATACCTTTTTTGTTTATTTATCAATCATTTTTTAAATGCATTTTAAAGTTAATATTTTCAAATCAACTTATTAATTTTTATTTAATTTAACTTTTAAAATTGAATTGAATTTATTCTATAGAGATGAGTCGGCTTTTAATTTAATAAATTAAATTAAATTAGAATAGCAAAAAATTAAATTAATTTATTATTATACTTATTGTAATACATATATATTAAACTGAATTTGAAACTAGTATTTTAAGGAGCGGTTACTTTTAAAACTATAGTTTATTTAAAAAAGAATTTATTATAAATTTGGCTATTTTGTATATATAAATATTTCGGGAATTTTATCGAATATTATGCTAGGTTAAAAACTTTCTTATAACAATGTAAACAATTTTAAATAAAGTGTTGCTAAAGTTATCAGTATAATTTTCAATTGTTAATTGATGTTTCCGCATCAAAGTTAAGATACAAATAATCCTTACGAGCACTAATTGTATATTACCACTTACTCAATAAACTTCGGACTTAATACGAAAAAGCTGGTAGTTGACGAGCCGTTGCTGTGTTTTTAGATTTTTAACACTCTTAGCGATAGGCTGGGATTTGACGTGCGTTCGAAAGTTACCAAAGAAGACGCTGTCGGTCTCAACGCTCTCGGCGCCGCTTTCACTGTTTACTCCATTGATGTTCATCGACTCATCGCTCTCGGTATAGTTGGAACTGTTCGCTGAGCTGTGGAAACGGCATTGCGAGCCATTGCTCTCGGGGCTGCTTACGTACGCGCTGTCCTCGAGGTTGGCCCCGTTAGATTTGGATCTATCGTCAGAGCACGGGCGATGCCCTCGTTGCTGCGATCTTGATATTCTCCGCGACTTGTCCACACTTCTGGAGCGTCGACTCCATGAACGACTATTAGTTTCATTTGGGCTCGACTTGCTTCGCCACTTGGGCAAGCGCCGGCACTGTGAAACAATGCTTATTAATTATTACTAAATTCTGTATGTTTCTTTCTGTATGTTAATTTCTGTATGCTAAAATTTTGCACATTTCGATACGTTGACGAAATTTAGGAGCTTTATTTTTCGTAATATCATCACTAGTTAAAATTTTACGTTGTGACATCGTTCTGTGTATGCAGTGATCAAATTTTCAAACGAAGAGTTCTGAACTATATTTAATTTTATTCATAAATTTATTTCAATAAAAAAATGAATATTTTTGGATTTCATTTGTATTATGATTCCTTCTTAATTAAGCAACATAGTTTTGGTTATTAACAATTATTATAACTTTCATTTAATCATTTTTATCTTTAGTAATTGTTAAATAATTTTCTAAGGCTTATTTTGCATTTACGAATTACAAGTACAGAATGAATGCATAAGGGGACGAAATATTTTATTTATTATTCATTTTTAATTGCTTATTTAAGATGCAAAATAACTTTAAAAGAATACAAAATAATCATTTATTTATTTAACATGATTGAGAATATATTCTTAGAATAATTATTTAGTGCTGGTTCTCACCTGCTGACACCTCTCATTTCTTCGGTCATTTGCTATATTAAGCGACTCCGATTTATTTAAGGCTTCTGAGTAGGCTGAAGAGATGCTTCCATTCAACTCCTTAGTATCTGCAAATTTGTTGTCCGTTAAATTTATTTTAGTTAAAGCCCTAATGTTTAGTCTCTCGATTGAACTTGTGGCAGCATTTAGCTTTTTTGCAATGACCGGTG